GTTTGAGTTCTACCCGATGGCACCGTTTGCACATCATTCACCTACCTGTCCTGCAGTGGGCTGTGTGTTTCCTGTGATAATCTTAATGGTTGTACTTTTTCCAGCTCCATTGTGTCCTAATAATCCTAAAACCTCACCTGAAAAAAAAAAAAGAAGCTGGTTACACTTAGTATTAATGTAATTGAATCGAACACTTTAGAATAAAATCTATAACAGTAGTCTCATATCATATTTGTTCCTTTTGTGATTGACTAATTTCACTCAGCATTATGTCCTCTGGGTTCATCCAGGCACATCAAGCATTTTGTGATTTCCTCATTGTTTTTCATCAGTGTGTAGTACTACATAGCATACACACACACACACACACTGATGTTTCCTCATCTATTCTTTTACTGATGGGAATTTACATTGTATCCCAGAAAATAAAACAAGTTAAGGGCTGTCAAACAAAGGAAAATGGATTTTGGAGTTTTCCAAGGGAAAGGGAGAGGAGGACAAGGGATGGCAGATAAAGCAATGGGCTAGAATGTTGTCAAATGTTAACTTGGCTGAAATGGTAGATAGTAGTTCACACGAGGAAGAAAAGAAACCCAGGAGCCAGTGAGGAGTAAACTATTGTGGGGTTAGCAAGTCGTTTAAACTATTACATACAATGTTTATGATCTGAAATGTAGCCCCTGCCCTGCCTAATTGAGAGTTTTCAAAAGGGACACAACCTATTCTGGAGGCTCATATGTGACATTGCTCCATGCGCTTCTTATTTAATTATCTCAACCAGCAGGAGGAGTGGTTATCATAATCTCCTCTCGTTTGTTTGGGGACAGAGCCATCAGAGGTGAGGGTCCCTGCCAAGGTTAGATGGAATTAAAGTGACCCAACTACTCTTGGAAGCCCAAGATGTCAGACTCTTTGCCCTGTCTCTGTCTCCAACCACCCTGTGGCAGTCATTCAACGTCTGGTCATTTCACACCTTGATCAAGAGTTCCTAATGTGCTAGTCCACCTCCAGTCTATTCTCTTGTGAAAAGTAATGAGCCCCGGGAAATCGGTGGTGTTTATGATGTAGAAAGACCATGGTTTCAATGGCTCCCGTTTGTGGTGAGCTTGTGATTTCTCGATAGATGTGCGTTTACGTGGGGTGGGGTGTTGATTAATTTCTTTTAGAAATGTGTCACGTCTAAGGAGCTGTCGCGGTTGCCCTGTAGCTTGGTCTGTGTGTGACATAAGAGGTGGTTGACAGAATCATCTTCATCCATATCCAGACAGCTTTGAGGGGGAAGGCCCTGAGCCCACAACAGAAGAGTCACGGTGCCCAACCTTTTCTAACACAGAAAGAGACATTTCTGGTGGCTATTTTCTTCTTCTTCTTGGAAAAGCAGCGCTCCCTCTCCCCTGCATACTCCTTGCGTAGGCAGCTGGCAATGATGGCAGGCTTCTGTAAGTGAGAAGTGAATCATGTCAGACCTTACCTCTCTCCGTTCTTCTCTTAGAAAAGCTCCTCCTGCCTACTGGTTGGCCCTTTGTTGCCCAAAGCGTTCCCCAAAGGAGATCATCTGTGAGGTGACAAGCTGGCCATTCTCCTGTCCTAACACTTGCTCTTTGGAGACACCAGGCCATCATTTACTTCCCCTAACCGGGACAGTTGCTCAGAAGCAGATCACTGTATCCAACCCACTGGTCTCCTTACAGCAGAAGAGACTGAGAGAAGTATTGGATCATCTTCAGACAGGGCAACACATGCCGTGGACTGGACTGGACCCTGGAGTTTGGACAGTGCACTTGGCTCGTTTTCTACAACTCATAGGTTCTTTCTTTGCGTTTGTAATTTTAATAGCATATTCTATGTGCGTTTTTTTTTCATTTGCTAAAACAAATCAACGGAACTAACTTGATGTCAAATCTTCTCATTTAGAAGCAAAGATGGTGGCTATCTATTAAAATGAAACAAGTCCTCATTGGTATAGATTAGAAAAAACCCTGAAATCACTTGAGAATTATTCTTTGAGGCAGCCTACTGAAATGGACAGCATTATGTCGTCGTGGGTGAAATCATGGTGTTGGGATGCTTTACCTCATCAAAATTCGTGGAATTTAAGGCATTTGCTGTTCTCGCTCTTTCCAACTGAACATCTTCATCCTCCCCTTCTGGGACTTCTGGATTTTGACACACATCATTGCTTCTTGGAGAAATTCTAGAGTCAAAACCACCCATTAGTCATTGGTTCCATCCTGATAGCAAGAATATTGAATACTTTCAATCAAAAAAACAGAATCCAATTGGATTTCTCCCAACCTAAAGACAGGATCCTTTCTCATTGTTTTCTTTCCAAACTTCCATTCCAGACATCGCAGAATAAAAAGGAAGATGATAAAATGAAGGAAAGGCTAAGGATAAAGAGAGAGAAAGTTGCTTACAAATGCAGACAGATCATTGTCCCAGCATCACAGGTGACTTAGGAATGTCTGGTCGTCTACCAGGGTAATGCATGACAACATTGCTATAGCATGTCCAAGGATCTTTTTGGTACACACGAAACTATCAAATTCATTTACAAAAAACTGAAAACATAGAAGTACATGATGGTATTATATTACATTCTTTTCTCTAATGGTTGTACAGTGTTTGTAAAAAAAAAAAAAAAAGAACCATGCTATCTGATCACTAGCTCTTTAAGACCATCACTTGTCTGTTAGTTTGACATATTGTGGTGGCTTGTGTGTTTCTGTAATTCTGGAAGCTATGTTACTGGTATTTCAAATACCACCAGGGTCACCCCAAGTGAACAGGTCTCAGCAGAATTTCCAAGAACAGCCTATGAAGAAGGAATAGGCTGTCTACTTCACGGGAATTAGCCACAGAAAACCCTATGGATGGCAGTGAAACAGTACTGCTTACCGCAAACCTCACTAATGGAAGCAGATCATTTTAGAGATGGTGCCAGAAGATGCGTCCCTCAGGTGGGAATACTCTCAAAATATGACCGAGGAAGAACTGCCCACTCAAATTAGAACTGACCATCAGGACACAGAGGGAGTACAGCCTGCCGGAGTAAAACCTTTGGGGTCTTCATGTCTTGATGGAGCAAGACTCAAGATGAGGAGAAACAGCTGCACACATCAATTTATAATTGGAATGTATGAAATATGAATCTAAGAATGGGATGTCATTAAAAATGAAATGGAACTCATGAAGATCAGTGGTCTAGGCATGTGTGAGCTCAAATGTGGAGCTCAAATATCCCCCATACTGAGTTGGAAAACCATATGGTCGATTAGCCTGAAATGACAAAACCAAGAGGAATGACATTGCGATCACCCTCAGAAAGGACAGTTCAAGATCGATCTTGAAGTACAATGCTGTCTGTGATAGGATTATATGTATCTGCATGCAAGAAAATCCAATCAGCATAACAATGATTTAGATATATGCACCAAACACTAAATCTAGTGATGAGGAAATTGCATATTTTACCAACTTCTTTGGTCTGAAATTGATCAAACATGCTATAAAGACCCATTCATAATTATTGGCAATTGGAATGCAAAAGTTAGAAGGAAAGATAAAGAAATAGTAATTGAAAAATATGGTATAGGTGGTAGAAACTAAGGTAGCGATTGCATGAGAGAATTTTGCAAGACCAACAACCTCTTCATCTCAAATACCTTTTGCAACAACACAATACACATGGACTTCTTCAGATGGAATACAGTACACAAAAATCAGATTGACTATCTGTGGAAAGAGACAACGGAGAAGCATAATATCGTTAGCTGAAACCAGGCCAAGGCTGACTGGGTCACAGCTCATCAAATGCTTACATGCAAATGCAGCTTGAAGTTGAAAATGAAAACAAGTCCACAGATCCCAAATACGCCCTTGAGTGTTCCCCATCTGATTTTTGAGACCGTCTCAAGAACAATTTGATGCATTAAACACTAATGACGGCAGACCTGATAAACTGTGGTATGATATCATAGCATAATTAATGAAGAAAGCAAAAGGCAATTCAAAAGCCAAGGAAGAAAGAAAAGATCCACATGGATGCCAAGAAGACTCTGCAACTTGCTCGTCATCCTAGAGTAGCTGACACACATGGAAGAAATGATGAAGTCTAAGAACTGAACGGAAAATTTCAAACGGAGGTGGAGAAGAGAAAATATCATAATGAAATACACAAAGTTCAGAGTTAGAAAACTAAAAAAGAAGAGCACCGTTAGCATATCTTAAACTGAAAGAACTAAAGAAAATTGAGTTCAAGTGAGTACACACACTTGAAAGACTCCAGGGGCAAATATTGACTGAGGTAGGATGGGAGGAAGGCTTATGGACAACCGAAGATAAGCAGGTGACAGCCTGGTTTCCTGAAAGTGAGGGGCACTTAAGCACTTGCTGAAGGAGAGGAAGGATGGCAGCCTCCAGGACGGATTGCAACTCAATGTAAAGAAATTGAAAATCCTCACAATTGGACCAATAGGCAATATCACGATAAACAGAGAAAATTCAAATTGTTAAGAATTTCATCTTGCTGGGAACCACAATGAATGCTCATGGAAGCAGCAGTCAAGAGATCAAATGACAGGTTGCACTTGAGAAATCTGCTGCCAGAGACCTTTTCAGAGTATTGAAAAGCCAAGGTGCTAGTGTGATGAGTCCGGGGTGCCTGCCCCGAGCTATGGCGTTTTCAGCTGTTTCGTCAGCACAGGAGAGTTGGGCACTGAATAAAGGAGAGCGAAGAAGAAGGATGGATGCATTTGAACTGTGGTGTTGACGCGGAACATGGAAAGTCTGATGAACTGCCAGAAGAATAAGCGGCTCTATCTCAGAAGAAGTACAGCCAGAATGCTCCCTAGTGACAAGGATGGTGAGATGTCATCTCACGTACTTTGGACATGTCATCAGGAGAGCCCAGTTCTTGGAGAAGGCCATCATGCTTGGTCAAGTAGAAGGGCAGTGACAAAGAGGAAGGCCCTCACCGAGATGGACGGACACTGGCTGCAACAATGGGCTCAAACATGAGAATAAAGGTGAGGACGGGGCAGGACCAGGCAGCGTTTCTCTCTGTTGCACACAGGGTCTTCATGGGTCAGAACCGACTGGAAGGCACCCAACAACAACAACAACAACAATAACAACAACAACATATCATTATAAAAATATTTTCCCAGATTTGACAGCCATGCCAGCTCCGTGAACTACAGCGATCTATACCCCCACCTTAAAGAAGTTTTCACAGTGGGCCCAAGAGTTAAAATTATTGAGTGTAGGGCACAAGCAGAAGGCAAATGTTTTGAGAATGATGATGGCAACAAATGTACCTATGTGCTTGACACAATGGATGTGTGTATGGATTGTGTTAAGAATTGTACAAGCCCCCAATAAAATGATTAAAAAAATTGAGTATAATAAAATACAAAGTAATATTAAAATGAGAACGTGTGCTTACTATTAAAAATAACAGGAATTCTTCTATGCCATTTGATTCTTCATTAAACAGAGCAGATGCAAAAAGCTGAAAAAAGAAAGGTGATGGTTAAAGGTCAAGTTTTCTGTGTCATGATTTTTATCCAAACGAATGGGATTTGGTCCAATGAGGAGCCCTTTTGACATTCCCGCTTCCTATCTGCAAACTGCCAACTCCCAAACCGGGAGGGAAGGGCTGTCTCCTCTCTCCCTACATCTCTGTGTGACTTTGCTTTTATGTGAAGCAATAGGATCTAGTGACTATTCCGCTTCTGGTGAGAGAATTTCAGAGAATCTTTCTGGGAAGATCCCAAACAGTGAGGGAGGCAGGTCTCCTGTGGACACAGAACTGGATACATTTTTAGGTGCCGCACCATTGCTCTGCTTTATGGTATCATTCTCTTACGTTCTTTCCCCATAGATCACGCTTCCTTTAGAAGCATGATGCTCGTGGCCTGGGGGAACTCTTTTCTGTGGAGAGAAAGAGCTCACAACTGTTACCAGATTCTCAAAGGTTTCCACTACCCAGAAAACTTCTCAATCTTTCAGGAGAACATTGCAGAACTATACGCGTATTGTACCTCCCATCCTTTTGTAGAAGGAGCCCGAGTGGTGAGATGGGTTACATGTCGGTTTGCTAACCACAATGTCAACAGTTCGAATCCTCCAGTCATTCCATGGGAGAAAAATGAGGCTTTCTGCTCCCATAAAGATTTGGGGCTTCTAAAACCCAAAGGGGAAGTTCTACTCTGTCCCAGAGGGTCACCAAGAGTCAGAAATGACTGCAGAAGCAGTGTTTGGAGAGTTTGTGCTTTAGAAGGAACATGAGCATGGACTAGAAAACAAAAGGTCGATGTCGTTGTTTATCTGGGCTGCTGTTCCCGTACTCTGCACCCCCCATCTGTGGACATTTCGTTTTCTGCCATCTAAAGCTGAGCTACTCCCTGCCGTGTCCAAGTCTCAGAACCAGTGAAATGCTGGTCTGTCTCCCACAACCGCTAACTCCTTCCTCCACCCACATTAACGAGGGCCAGACTCTGATCACAGGTCCCCTGGAGCACATCTGGGTGAAAACCAATCTGGGGACACCATTCCAATGGTGTGCACGTTCAGCATCCTGTCCAGTCTAAACGCTAAGCGCAGCTTTCATAGATTTCAGGACACAAGGACAGAAGGTGGCATGACTTACGTGAACAGATAAGAACAGGCAGCCGATCAATGTGGCAGGTGGAACCAAAAAGGTGATGCACAGCAGTGCTGTCTTCCCATCGTTTCCCAGCATGAAGATCATCACAGAGAACATAATGATCTAAGGGAAGCACAGGGTGCATGTTGACCACTCTGAGTTGCAGTCTGCATCCCAGTTAAAGTGGCTTACTGGGAGATATTCCTCATTTCAACTCCAGCATCAGACGGCAAGCTGAAATAAATATCTTCAGGAACGTTTTCTCTTAGTGACTTACCCAAATACTTTTTTTGTCAAGAGCATCCTGAATTAATATGATATCCTTTGATAGACATATGGAATATTTTAATGATAGATGTGGAAGATGGAATATTTTAATGATAGGGGTGGAAAAGAAAATGGTGTAATATTGTCTTTGGAGCTAAAATTCAAATCAGTAAATTGTCATAATAGAAGTCATCATAAAGGAAAATAAAATTGACCTGAAACAGTAAAACAAGAAGAAAAGTAAAACAAAAATTAAAAAACAAGGAAAGCAGAGAATACCAGAAGGATGTTTACTTCTGTTTTATGGACTGTGTGAAGGCATTTTGGCTGTGTGGATCATCATGAATTAATGGATAGCACTGAAGAAGAATGAGAATCCCAGAACACGTCATTGTGCTCACATGGAACCTCTATGCAGACGCGGAGGCAGTCATTCGGACAGATCAAGGGAACACTGTGTAGCTTAAAATCAAGAAAGGTATGCATCTAGGTTGTAGATTTCACCATACATATTCGATCTGGATGCTGAGCAAATATCTGAGAAGTTGGTCTGTATCGAGAACCTACCATCAAGATCAGAGGAAGACTCATTAACCTCTGAAGCAAGGAAGATGGCACAACCTTGCTTGCTGAAAGCGAAGGGCACTTGAAGAACTTCCTGATGACGACCAAAGCCTTCACTATGGCAGCAGCATTCGGGAAATCAAACCACACCACGCCAGGAAATGCTTCAAAAGACCCAGGTAAAGTAGGAAAAAGCAAGGATGCCTCTTTTCAATCTAAGGTAGACCCATCCCAGGCCAGGGTATTTCCCATCAACCAATATGCACGGACAAGCTGGGCAATGGAACAGGAAGATTGGGAAAGAAACGATGGCTTTGAGTGATGGTGTTGGTAAAAAGGTGATCACATGATAGGAAACCTACTAATACAACTAGACCCTGGACTCCCAGAAGAATGAATCAGCCAGAATGCTCTTTCATCCTCCTTGGAAGTGAGGGGGAGGAGACGTTGTCACGTGAATGTTGGACCTGCTGCCAGCAGGTGAGTGTTTCTGGGCAAGGGCATCCGGCTTGGTAGCTGGTCAGAGAACAAGAGGAAGCCCGGCTAAGACATGAAGTGATACAATGGGTTCAAACAAAGGAGTGACTGTGAGGATGGTACAGGACTCAGCAGTAGTGAATTGGGTTGTACCTACCTTTGCTATGAGTTGGGAGCAAATGGAGGGCAACTCGGGGCAAAGCGGTTGTGAGTCAGGCTGCTAACTATCAGGTCAGCAGTTCTAACTCACCAGCTGGAGAAGATGAGGCTCTCTGTACTGATAAAGAGTTACAGTCTGGGAAACCCACAGGGACAATTCTACCTTGTCCTCTAGGGTGGCTGAGAGTCAGACTAGACTCAGGTGCTTGAACAACAACAGAATGAAATGCATAATGCAAATTAAAAATACCCTCAATAGTGTCTGGGGTCTTAAAGGCCTGAAGCTAAGCAAGCACCCATCTAGCAGAGAAGCAACAAGACCCCACGGAAGAAGCACACCAGCCTGTGCGATCATGAGGTGTTGACGGGATCAGGAAACAGACATCAGAAGACCCAGAACAGTCAAACAAATAAAACATATTGTTAAGAATGAGGGGGGTTGGAGCAGAGACCCAAAACCCATCTGTAGACAATGGGACATCCCTCACAGAAGGGTCACAAGGAAGGGATGAGTCAACCAGGGTGAAGTATAGCACTGATGAAACACACAATATTCCTCTGGTTCTTTGAGGCTTCCTCACCCTCCACTATCATGACCCCAGTCCTGCCTTTCACTGCAGGCTAGGCCGGAGCATGTACACAGGTACAGCTCAGAG